TGCTATACACATTTGATGGTGGTCAAACTTGATGAAGTGAGGGTATCGTAACGCCACCTCCCCTTTTGCGGCAGACATTCGGTCAGCGTGTTTCACGCAATACGCGGTAAACGGAAAACAGCGACTTATCGCAAGTTTAAATAATTGTCTTCAAATATGCATCTTGATCATTAAGATTTAAAAAAAATCTGTATTTAATTCTTAGCAAATCATTTACAACATTGCTATCAACATGAAATATCAACTCAATTATTTGAATATGATCACATATTTCATTACAGTTCATTGTCGATAACAAAACTATTTTCCTTCGACCTTCACACATAGATTGACTATATACATTGTATTCACTCACCTCCCGCAAAAGCTGGTCATGGATCTGTGTTAATTTTCCCAGTGGAAAGGTCTGGAAGACATCCTCTAACGTAAAGTACATCGGAAATGAAAGTAACGAATCTAAGTAACCTTGGTAACTGGCTACATAATCAGTTCTCCCATCATATGCCTCACCCAGTGTGAAAGAATCACTAGCTTCATCGACCTCTGCCAAGAAATCTTTGGATACCTGCAGTATTAAGAAATGGCATTGTTTGCTGTTTCCCTGTGCATCCGTTAGTGCACGGCAGATGAAACATAGAAAAGGTCATATAGAAAAATAGAAAAGGTCGAATGTAGAAAAGGTCAAAATCATAATGGCAATATGAAGTAAAAACCTTCATTCTTCTTTGATCAACTCGATACATATTATTCCTTGCTGAAATATTAAAAATTTGCTAACTGACACAAAAGATCATTGCTGTCATTTTAACGCCATTATATCATAACATATATCAAAAGGTTTGACACAGTCAAGTGCATATGACCAACTACAACATAATCAACGATATAGAGGGCGGTTATTTTATAAAATTTAGCAAAATTTCTCTGTCCTGATTGCCTATTCTAAACATTTAATATGCAAAATGAATTTCTATTTTGACTACACTGTCATTACATACTTGAGAAACGTACATACCCCTTTGACAAAATCCAGTCGATATCCATCGAAACCATACTCCGCGTTGAATTCACGAACCCAGTTCAACAAAGTCTCGCGCACGGACGCGACTGTCTGATTCAGATCAGGGAGGTAAGCCAATCGACATATCTCAACCTGGAATATAGAGTATAGAGCGCCATCAACGGCGGGGTGTTACATTACATAATTTTCAGCGGAACTTGACTGCACTGACTATCAGCTGCCACGTTTGCTTACATTTGCGCGCGTGCACAGTAACAGCGAGCGTTCGCTCCCGAAGTTGCTCACTTTTACTGTAATAGTTATTAAATGTATATTTACAACTTACAGGCAATGCGGTGAAGGCGAATCGCTAGTGCTGATTCGTGAGCGATATTTGTTATCAGACATTTGCATGCTGGTAGGCAAAAATTGTAAAAAAAAGGACGTCACAGTGCGATAACCTACAGAGTCAGCCATATTATATAATTTAACCACATCCTATCGCGCATGCGCATCCTGTTATTATTCGTGAATATATGTTTGATGTTGTATATATCGCATATAAACTAGTAATGTTTTACTTAGAATTTACATTTTCTTGTTGTTCGTTGCTCCAATCGATATCACAGTAGGTGTGATAGTCAGCTTCGTCGTTAAACGGGACAAATCCAGTGAAGTTATTTGCATTATCTATAGGACATCCACTCCAGTGACAGCCGTCAGGATATCCCATGTGATTCAGTACTCTGTGGAAAGTATATTTAGATATCTGCATTATTTGGATAGCATTGATAACATGGCGATGCGTGCGGTACCATGAAGAGAACATTACAAATAAAAGCTGACATAATATTAGTATGAAATTATCTCCTACAACAAATGTTTCACCTGAACTAAAATGCATTTGTTTTCGTAAGATCAAACTATCATTTTCATGAACTGAAAAAAGTCTTTTATCCAACATTTTTACAACACTTGCAATTGGCCAATGTTGAACTTCATATTATTACACATTCTTCAATCAATAAATCAATCAATCAATAAACAACTTGACAATAATTGAATACTCACAAGTCCGCCATGACCCACACGTCTCTACTCTGACACGCTGCTATCAGGTCTTTGAGATCCTGTTTACTGCCAAAATGAGGGTTTGTCTCGTAGATATTTTTTGGCCAGTAACCATGGAAACCAAGTTCTGTGTTTTCAATAAATGGTGATATCCAAATAGCATTTGCCCCTATAAAGAAAACACAAGTCAAAGCACGTTTACCGATACAGTTCGCTTACAATAGAAATTGTTTTCATCTCAGTTTCCCCAAGTATACCCTTTCTTCTCGAGAATCTAAATAATATACAAGGATTCAGAATCTACGCAAATTGATGATATACATGTTGTCTGGTACGATCTTTATCTTGAAGGGCAATGTCAGCGCCTCTTATAGAATAATATAAAATGAATTGTAGAGCAGGTTCCAAATAGTACATCAATATATCTAAGCAAAACTTGAAAGGAAAAATACTTGTCAATTCTTTTGGTGAGAAACATTATTTACATTACATAATGAGAATAACATATCGGGTTATTATTCTATATAATAATGTATCTTGTAGACAATATTACGAATATCTGGTTTTCAGCTATATAAATGTTTTTATTCTCTGGCCAATGTTTAACCCATATCTTGAAAAATATACATGTTAGTCACAATTGAGTATTTTACTATGATTGGACGGATTTCTATGTATGACTTCAAGAAAATGACGTTTTAAGTGAATATTATCTTGAAAAATTGAGTGTGACCGACAGTCAAAACAAGTTGATAAAAAATCTCACTTTATATCGGATATTATATCGGATATAAACAATTTGAGCTATTGTAACCCCCCCCCCCCAACACAAATTTACGCCGGTTACGATGATAACAACAAGTACAACAACAACGACGACGACAGACAGACAGACACTCCCCATATACGTTTCCCTTTAATTATGATTCAGGGAAGGTCAAATAATGATTTACAATTACAGTATGACATGATGTATTTA